GCGCTGCTGGGCGCGCTGGGGGCGGTGCGCCGCTTGCCCCGCGCTGTCAGGCTAGCCAGTTGGAGAGCCGTTGAACCCGTGGGTTTGGTGGCCACGGCGGGGCCTCCAGCTTGTCGCCAGACGTGTTCCCCGCGGCGATACCCTCGCCCAGCGACGCCTCGCCCGGCGGGAACTGCGGCACTGGGATCACAGTTGCTGTCCTCCTGCTTGGCAGGGGACGTGGGCCACTGATGTCCGTCGGAATCCCTGGTTGTGGGGGGGCGGGCGCCGCGGGTGCCATCGCTTGACTGAAACGGTTGCAGCGCCCGAAACGCCCGGCTCGAATGCAGTTGACAAGATAGACGGGTCGGCCCCGATCGGCAAGGTCATTGAAGGTCATGCGCCCTTGGTGTCGAATAAGCTGCGCGTTATGCCCTGCGGCGAGACAGAGGTCCCGCGCTTCCCTGGTCGGCCTGAGTGGCCGCTGCGTGTAGGTCGGAACAGTGGCGCGTAGCTGCGGCGGCGGATTGCGACGCGGTCGATGCGCTCCTCTATCCAGATCTTGAGACTGGCGCACACTTGTTCCCATGGGCCCCACGCGGCGGCAGTTCGCTGGAGGAGCTGGACGAAGCCATGCCTTTGCTGGCGCGCTTCCATCTGTCGGAGGCAGTCGCGGTGATTGGCCCTATGCCTGGTGGCATCCGTCTGGAGCAGTCCGCCGGCGCCATCTGGGATTCCTCAGTCGCTGTCAAGGCGCTGGACGGGGTCGCTGCGCGCCTGGTGGACCGCGTTCGCAACGGTTGGATCGGCGGGGCTGGCGCCAATCCGCCCTGGCGCGCCCGCGGCGCGCGCCCGTTCGACAAGGGGCGGGCGCGCGCGTGCTGGGCCCAGGCTGGCCCGCGACCTGCGCGGCTTGTCGGGGGGCCATGGGGGTGCTCGCGCTCCGTCGCTCTGCCGGCTGCATGGCGTCAGCTCGCGGCTGGGCGCGCTGGCGCTGTCGCGGCCGTTGCTGGAGGCGCTAAACCCCGACCGCTTGGCGGGCGGGCGGAGACGGCCCCCGTCGTTCGCGCGCGCAGTAGCGATGCTGAGCGCCGTTGGGCGGGCGCGGTACCCTGGTGGGCCGCCGAGGCCACCTGCTGCGATTGCAATCCGCGGCGGCCCCAGTGGACCCTCGCCCTCGTCGATGGTCGTAGAAACCGCGGTGGACAACGACGTTGCAATATGCGTCGCAGCGGCGGTAATCTGCGCGACGCTTGTAGAGGCGACGAGGAAACCCTCGGCGGCGCCCGCTGCAGCCCCGCGGACGTGATCGGTCACGACCTGGCCAGGCTTCGGGGCCGGAATCCCGCGGCCCCTTAGATGAGGCCCGACGTGGAAGTCCGCGCGAGGGCGGCCGCTCTCGCGGGGCCGAGGCGCGCGGCGGCGGCAGCGCCGCCGCGGGCGCGCGCTGGGCGGCCAGAGCGCCCCTGAGCCAACTGCTGCGGAGGCCCTCTTTCACCTTTGCCGAAGCTGCGCGAGCCCAAGCATGCCGCGGCAGCCCCCCCCCCCTGGCGATCGGGAAACGCAGCGCAGAAATCGCGCGGCATAACCTGTGCCAGGACGAACCTGTTTCTCCTACCCCTACAGAGGCGCGCAAACAATAACGCAATTCCCTGGGTCGTCGCTACCATGGCGGGATCGGGGGAGGGGGGCCCGTCGAGGCCCCTTCAACGCGGGCCCAGCGGCGGCTCGGGGCGCGCGCGACGCGGATGCGCTGAGGTCGAGCTTGCGCCCCTTGCCCCCTCGATCGGTTCCTGCCGCGCACGGGCGCCCCCCGGGGCAGCGGCGGCATTCTCCTGCCCCGGCTGGCATGGCAATGAGGCGGGCGCGCGAAGGCGTCGCGACACTGCGCGGGCGCGCGCCAACGCGACGAGCGGCGCCATCTGGGCCAAGAAGATGCGCAAGTCCACGCAGAGGCTGGCTTGCTCGCCGCGGACCGTTACTATGCCTTGATCAAGCGGCCGGCAATGGTGGGCCACGGTGGCTAACGGTATTTTCGAACTGGTGTCCGCGTCGGTCAGTCTCTGCTGGTCTGCGCCCAAATTGCGGGGGCCGGCGTCGGCCAGGTCGGGGGTGGCCTGGGTGCTTGGCTGTGACGGCCACTCTTCGTCTGAGTCTTCGTCGTTGCCCGGTAGCTAGCGGTTTCCCTTCGGGGGGGCCCATGAGGGCGCTGGCGCCCTCGGGGTCGGCGGCGTCGTCGGCCTCGGCGAGGTCGCCCACTCCCCGCGAAGGAGGCGAGGCCGCGTTCGCCGTCGGTCACCCGCAAGGATGTCGGCGGCGCGCCTCGCAGCGCTGACTGAACGTTGGTGCGCCCCTGTGACGCTGGGGCCCCACTGCTTCTTCGTCGGCGGCGGCGCGCTGGGCGGCCTGTTCTGCAGGTTGGACGGCGGCGCCAACAATGCTTGGGGGCGCGGCCTAATGGCGGCCCTTTCCTGGCGGGCCGGCGCGGCCGCATCGCCTGGGCAGCGTGCTGGCGACCGTTGCATGGTGGGCGTCTGCTGTGATAGCCTCTGGTGAAACAATGTGGCCGTCGGTGTCTTTGGTGGCTCCGCATTGGCGATAGTTTCCACCTGTGCGACGCCCCGTGGGATGGTGATCCCCGCGCGTGCGCTGCGGTGTTGGGCCGGGCAGATGCCGCTCCGACGATTGCCTGGCCCCCCCCCGGCAGTCTTGCCCCACCCTGCGCGCTGGAATTCGCAATGTCATTGGGGGGAGGCATGGATCTTGGCGATCTGCACCCTTGTAGCACTTAGGGGCTCGATGCCTGTGATGCGGTAGTTGGCGTTGGCCAGTGCCGAGACGGCGCCTCGGAGTTCGACGGCCACGGCTTTGGTCACTTTCGTGTTCAGTTTGGCTTGGATGCCAACTTTTATCAGCAAGGACGGCTCCAAAGGCACTCAGGTCGTCAGATACTTTGGCTGTCGTGGAGCGTGCCCTGGGGGTCGTCCTGGCACCATGCGATGATACACTCGCGTGGTACACGTCCTTTTGATTCGTGGTAACTGATGTCGACATGGACGCCTCCTTGCCCCGAAGCAAACAAGACTGTCGGGACGTCGGCCGGCCTGATGCCGAACGTTGCCGTGGGTTCCCGTTTGCCTGTCACGGTACCGTGGCGCTTCAGCAACTTCATGGGTTACTGGATGGGGACCGTGCTGAATTGGGAAAAATGTACGTGAAGGCGTCGGTGGGGTCGTCGTCAAGTTGATTGCGCGCGAGATCACGCATGTCTATCTTGCGATGCTCCTTGGCCCTAGATTGGGCCGTGCCTGTTCCTCCTGGTTGCCGCGTGCCGTTGGTACAATCCTGAAGACTGGGGTGTGAACAGCTCCGGGAGGGAGGGCGCGATGGCGACGGCACCCGTCTCACGAATGGCTGCGCGATCCGGATCACAGTGTCCGCAAGGTTCAATGCAACTTGGCCCGTTTCGCAAAGACCTGGCGTGGGCTTGATCGCCCGTGCGGGCGAACGAAAACATGGATGAGGATGTCTCTGATTGGGAGGTCGGTGTTCGTGGGGTTCGCGATGGCTATGTTAAGGGGCTTGTCCAGCAGGCGGATGTGTTGTAGGAGGCGGCTTTCCTCCTCTAGCAGTTTAATAACATGTTGCTGGTGTGTGATGTGCCGTCCGCCGCCTTAGCAGGCGCAATGGCAGTGGCCACATCTCAGCGTTGGGCACCGAGGGTGGTGAAAAGGGCGGCGTCGACGGCCTGGTAAACACCGGCCGAGGCCGTGGGCCTGGTGACTCACGGCTGGAGTCGGTTTTGTGCGTCAGGGAGTGGTGCAGCATGGTGTAGCTGACCTTTGGTTTCCCATGCGATTTCATGAGCTCGCCCCTCAGTTTGTCTGGTTGGAGCGGTGTTGTTCGTAGACGATGTCGAACTCGGCGGTGCGCTTGTGAGCCAAGCCGCTGTGTACAGCGACTGCTCGGGCAACGCCCCCACTGCTTTGGAGTGCGGCGACTCAGGCTTCATTTTGGGACAAGTTACAATCCGGTCAGATAACCTTCTTGCGGCCCTTGCCTGGCGGCTTGGGCTGCGGATGATTGGGACGCTCACGGCGGGGACCTTCGGGGCCATGGCGCGCGCGCGCACTGAAGGTGCAAATAACGACAATCCGTCACGGCCAGAAACGGGCCGCGTCTTGTCTCGCGAAGCAAGAATACATGCAGGGCGTTTGGCGTCTGGGCTCGCTCTGAGCAGAACTCTCGTACCGAACCTAGATAGAGAGAGGGAGATAGAGAGAGATTGATACAGAAAAAGAGGAAAGGCAAAGAGAGAGAGAGAGAGAGAGAAAACGCACCATAATCATGTAAGGAATGGGCAATGAGGGAAGTGTGGAGAAACGGGGGAGCGAGGTGGATGGAAAACTCCGAAATGAGAGGCCACCCTGGGCAACCATCGACAATCCTCGCAAGCGGACTGCAACACTTAGACACGATTTGGAAACCAAAGTACCATCCGCTGTCCCGCAAGAGGGGGGCGGTCAAACCAATGCGTCGTCTGAAAGCGCACTCACCAAATCCGTCCTCTTGACAAACAAGCATGCGGCAAACACACAAAAACACAACATTCAACACATCACACTTGTCATGAACACCGTATTCCGGATCTATCGTGACATCAAGGGCAAACTTCGGATAAAAACATACCCCGTTGTGTTATTCCGAGCGCTGGTGGTTGCTAAACCGGTTGTGATGCGCCAGTGCATGCCCGAGGGATATAATGCGGATCAGGGGTGCCAGAAGGAAGGACGGAACAAGGAATGAGAGAGAGTGAACAGGAAATGAGCGCGCTAGGCTTTTGAGTCTCAAAAAGCTTGCACCACACGGCCACCAGCGCGTGTGGACCTTGATGGGGATTGTGCACCAGCGGAGTTCTTTACATTGAGACGGTCAATTGCGACCAACCAGCGAGACCAATAAGCACATGCTGCAGCTGGACTGAGGACGTGCGATCCAGTAAGCAGAGCTGCGCGTAGTGCCTCCACGAAGGAGACCGCAACGTCGTGCATCTGAGCCTCCCGTTCTTTTGCCCTCAATTATGGCAGCCGGCCCTGGGGCTTACTAAGGCTACAAGCTCGGAGCTCCAGAGCGACACTCAACATTGATGCATTTGGCAAGTCTGACACTCGTTGGCCAATCGCGCTGGCCAGTAGTCATTCGAGCTGAATCTAGCGGCTGCTGCGCAGTGGCCCCAAGACACGCGCCGCCACGGGCAAGCGCCAATCCCCCCCGTCTCCCCATGAACTGAAGCCCGCAGGGCGCGAGGACCCACTGCTCCCAAACACCCTGTCGATCCCACCAGGCATGTGTCCCGGATCGCAGGAAGCGTGCTGGACTCCAGGCGAAGAAGGCGTGCTCTCTTGCCCTATGGGCGAAGGCAGTTCGGTGGCTCGAGCCTCTGCCGCTGATTCCATGATATGAGAGGTGTGCCAAAGCCTCGCGCCTGACCGTGCTCCAGATCTATCGCATCTGCCGTGCGAAAGGGGAGACACACTATACTCTGCAAACAACACCCCGGGTAACTGATAAATCAATAAGAGAGAGAGAGAGAGAGAGAGAGAGAGAAAGAGAGAAAGAGAGAAAGAGAGAGAGAGAGAGACAGAGAGACAGCCCATAGAGGTGTCAGGAACGCCCCTACACCTCCGGCCTTGCGCCGGGCCCATCAATAACGTACGAATTAAATGGGTCGTCGTGATGAGCGCGCGCTGATCAACTTACCTTGTCAATACAAGGCAATGATACGGACAAGCGTGTCTGTGTTCTCGCTGGGTGAAACACATCAGGTCAAGAGCCCATCAGGCGTAGGGGCAATCCCAACAGTCCTGTGGGCGTGCGTTGTATAGCGAATCAACTGTTCCCGCTCCTCTTCCCCCCCTCCGGGAAGGCCGCTACCCCTCCCCATCCCCCCGCCCCTGGGCCTGGACGAGGGTGGGTGCACCGCGATGGGTTCAACATGGCTGCAGCGTGCCCCCTGATAGCCCCGGATGGCTTCCAAGATGGTGAAAGATAGCCCAAGATGGCGTCGGATATCCTCCAGCATGCGTCTCAGAGGTTCCAAGACTGCAGAATACAGCTCGAGGAGGCCACGGTGCTTCCCGACAATACACCCGAGAAACCAACACCATTCAGAAATCAGCGATTCTGCACACATGATGTCTGTCTCGCCGTTTCGCTTCGATGGGGCTCCCCATAATGGCTCCAAGATGGCCCAACATGGTTGAAGCTGCGCCCCAAGAGCGTCCTAGCACAGCTCCTGCATGCAAAGATAAGAGGGCTCAAGAATGGAAACGCGAATTGACGCTAATCTGCTTTCGCAACCACATAACAAAATGAACTAAATCTGTTTGGCGGATTCGTGATTATCTTTATTGTTTGCGACCAGCAATGAAAACTTTCAGCGTCTGGAATACAGGTGTTTTGGCCCAGATGGTTTCAACATGGCCAAATATATTCCAAGATGGCCCTCAAGATGGCGCAAGATGGTGCACGTTTGTTCAAAACGGCCTCCGGATGGCTCCAACAGACCCCAGGATGGCTCCAAGTGGACTCAGACACTCCCAATGATATCCCCGATCTGCCAAACTCTGAATTAACATGAAGGGGAAACGTCGTCGCGCTTTCGATTCGCGTTTGAAGCCTCAAGATGGCTGCGAAGTCGACCATTATAACCCCAGGAAGGGCCCAGAAGGGTTCCAAGATGGCTCCAAGGGCCACAAGAGCACCCCAAGAGCGTCACAGCTGGGCCTGAAAAACAACTTCACAGTCTGCTTGGTGCCATGAGCCATGGTTTCTACATCCTGGAAAAAGGCCCCACCGTATGAAGCCAGCGCCACAGAGTAACTCATGCGCGCCAGCACTCAACACACACACACACACACTCTCACACATACACACACCAACCTTTCCTGGACAATGCCCTCAAGCACATGCCCGGCCCCGCCTCCATTGCAGCGGTTGCGCCCCTCCATGCTGCCTTCGCGACTGCAAAGCGAGCATCGCGAAGCGAGTACCAGAAAAGGACAACCAAGCGTCGGCAAGATCGGATGGTAAACGCCAGCTGCCATCCCTGACCAGAAGCACCCGGCAAAAACTCAAGTCTGTAATCGCACGTGGCGCGCGGTTTACACGTGTGCGACGGTAACCAGATGAAACATGGAGCACGCAAATTTTCCGATTGTGTGCACCGCACGGCGCCTGTACTTTGAGACGATGACGCGTTTCAACGAAAACGATGTCGTCGTGATGCCGAGTCACCTGCTGTTGCTTTCCGTGGGTCCTAAAAACACATGAAAGACATGGCGGGTCTGTGCAGTACTCCCCAGGCCGTCTTGGAAGCAATGTGGCCCTGGAGGCCGGCCTGCGAGGCCACCATCGTCCGGATCCCTCGAAAGTTTTTGAATCCCACGAGCGTCCAAAAAGGCCCAAAAGACCCTCAAGACCGCCCAGAACAGCCCCGCGAGCTACCAATACGGACCCACGAAGGGCTCAAGACAGCCCCACGAGGGCTGCAGGAGGGGAAATACTAAGTGACATGTCGAGCCCTCCGCCCCAGGATGAACCCCGAGGCCGCCACCAGGACGCCCCCAAGGCACCCGAGAGGCAGAGGCCTCCATAGACCCCCGGGAGACCCCTAAGGGGCTCCAAGCAGGTCCCCGAGAGGCCTCCCAAGAGGCCCCCAAAGAGACGCCCATATGTATATATATATACATATGTATATATATACATATATATATACACACCATATATATATATATATATATATATATATACATATATATATATACATATATATATATATATATATATATATATCGATAGGACCACCCTTCGGGTGAGAAAGTGTTTGGGGAGGGGGAAAGGGGGAGGCGGTCGATTTGCGATGTGCCCCGCCTACCGCCAAGAAAAAAAGCGCGGGCAAATAAATGCACCCTACTTCCGCTTGCTTCTATCAAACCAAAATATACACATATCTATGTTTCTATCGATCGATCAATATATCTCCCTACATACCGAATCGATCCCTCAAACAGTCCATCTACCTATATATATATATATGTGTAGACCCACTAGAATCATCGCGCGCTTCGCGCGCGCTCAGGTTCTAGCAGGCCCCAGGCCTTGACAAATTCACTGCTCCACTGAAGTAGCGGACCACAGTCCACACATGCCAATCTGCATTCCGAAAGGCCTTCCAGGAAAATGGTTGTGTAGGGGGGCGGAGGCCGTATGAATCGGGTTCCCAGAAGTTCTTCTGGGAGCATGGGTTTGGGGGCGTCTTGGGGAGCCTGTTGGGGCGTGCCGTCGTCGTCGTCGTCGTCGGCGTCGGCGTCGTCGTCGTCGTCGTTTCGTCGTCGTCGTCGGTTCAAAAGGGCAATTGGGGCAACTTTGTGCGAAACGATCTGCGGAGGGCCGCGAGAAGGAGGTCAGTCATGTTCCCGATCAACTTCCCAGACAGCTCGCCTGTAGCATGATGGTACTTCGAAGCCTCCGGAGACTCGCGGGCCCATGATGAACCATGTCCCCGGAAGGCTTTCTGGGGACATGGTTTGTTGGGGTGTGTTGGGGGGTCTCTTGGGCGTTCCCTGGGGGCCCCTTGGGGGCCTCCGGGAACTCTCGGGCCCATGATGAACCATGTCCCCGGAAGGTTTTCTGGGGACATGATTTCTTGGGGTGTGTTGGGGGGCCTCTTGGGAGAGTGCAATAACTCAATGTTTGGGGTCCACACTTGCTAACACGTTAACGTTGTAGGCGATGTTGTACACATACATACATCCGTATACACTCAAAAGGAGGCACGCGTCATACACGTCTTTATACATAGCTACACACGTGTACCATCCTGTAGCCGAGACACAATATGATACTACTGCCCGCACGAACAATTCAGACCGCGAGAAAAGACTCCATACGCCAACTATCAGAAATGCATTCGTACAACCAATCCCGTCTGCCGCTACTCAACCGAACGACCTGCCATTTGGAACTGAGCTGCAGGACTCTCGACAAAACAAAGGAGACACGCTGAGCAAGAGAGCCCTCAAGCTCCTAAGCACCATCCAACACACAGGCTTCTCTCGAGACCACTTGCACTCTCGCGAAGCGTGCTGCGAGAGGGCCTTGACGTGAGCGGGGTCGCTCCGCAATGCGGCGGTGCAGTGCTCAATGCACTCCAGCCACCGCCGTTGCCGGAGGAGCGCCTGCAGGCGTCGCGCAAATTCACCAGAGACAAAACATGGAGGCGCATACAGGCGAGTTGCCCACCTGGCCCCTGGTCAATCAGATGGGTCCTACATGGATCACTGGAAGCGCCCCCTTCTTTGGAGCAGATCAGTTTGTGGTGGGCACCTGTTGAACGATGTGCCTTGAAAGCCGAGCGCAACTGACAGCGATGCAATAGCACCCACTGAAAATTTTCGGCTCTGAGGAATGCAGTGCGTCCCTGCCGGGAGGCCCCATGGAGCCACCAGGACCTTGCGAAGATCCACGAACCTCGCGCAAGAAACCCCCCTTGCCTCGCAGATTCCGACTAGTCAGGTCAGGCCCCACAGGTACCCTCCAGGTGTAGGCTTGAGCACTCTGCCTTCTGATCCCTCTCCTCAGACATCATGCCTTGGCGCACAAAGCGGAGGTCTGCAGCGTCCCCGCCAACGCCCACCTCACCCAAAATGGAAGGCGGAATCGACTCCACACCGGGCACACCTCACTGCCAAACCCGTGCTAAAAGCAGATTCCCTGTGGCGAGTGAAAAGGACTGTGGGTTCTCGGTGCGACTCGGCATGGTCTTGCGGCCTGGCAAGGGCCGACTGCCATGTTCTGTGACACATCGCCTGGGCAAAGCAATTAATCAGCAAACCAGTCCAGAGAGACAGCGTCACGCAATGCCCCAAACTAGACCACGAACACAAGCGAATGTACGCACACGTGGTTCTTCGCATGCGCACGCCCTCCAACCCTGCGAAGAACCACACTCCCTCCAACCTGTGCCATCAAAAATTCAATGGTTTATGGATTACCCGGAATCCCCAGACTCGCAGGTGCGAATCGGGGCTTTGCGTTCCCGTGTGCAACTGTCAACGATTAGACATTCGGTGAAGGTGTACACGTATGGGCATGTCTGACTGCAACTTTCCTCCAATTGTGCGTTCGCAAAGGGAACTAAACCGTATGTGCTGAGGCGTTCGAGCTCATGGCCGTAAGCCGTCGTGGACTGGTTCGGCTTGCTTTAACAAATGCTACACCTACAATCCCATCCAAGTATGGCTGTACCCAAGACAGCTCCGATCGAGACTAGCCCGACGAAGGGCCCTCAGGTCAGGGTTAGACGTATTGCATCACGTATGGCAATGGCAATCCCGATGTACGATGCAATACCCGAACAGGTGGATCAACGGATGCATGTCTCATCGTGCAAATCCCGTATACCATAAATTCTGATGTTCTAGCACCGGTGATAGCTGCATGGCTCAAACAACGAAATCATTCACCAAGAGCTGAGCTGAGATAGGATCTGCTAACATTGTGCATTCCCTATGGCCTGCCACTTTGCAAGTCGGAGTCTCTGTGACAACCATGAACCGAATCAAGCCAGAGCCCACTGGCCGATGCCATGCCTGCGCACTGTTCGCATGCAGCGCTGCTGTGAGGCCACATCCTGCAGCATCCACGCCAGCGGCCTGAGCGACACGAGAAGCGCAATGCCCTCCGACAATCAACATTTCCGAAACTTACGGATTATGGGAGTGTAGCAACAGCGTGACGGACGTTACCACAAGCAAACGATAATCCGTAGCATGAGTGAACATGTCAACCATACTGATGTTACAAATGCCCCCACCAACAGTCAGAACCAACATGATGAATTCGGAGCCCGTGCAACAACCAAGCTCCCTTGCTGATCTTCCAACGGAATCCATGTGTTAGCGCACCACGTGCTCCTTCGTGCGACTTCCACCCATTCTCATCATGCCCGTTGAAAATAACACATTAGCTGTCGCAGAAGTCGCGTCGCGTTCGTCTCGCATTCCCCACACATCGGTTCGCATGTTTTCCAAGGTGCCAAGGTGAGCCTGGCTCTCCCGACGTGCCCAGCGCTCAGTCCTCCAAGTCGACGGGCGCTTGAAACCTGAGGCCGAGACAAGCTCAATCATCTCGCAAGAGCCCTTCGGCGGGGGCTGCCCGTTCCCAACATTTGAAGCCACAACGGGGGCTGGAGGTGGCGACTCCCGCCCATGTGCAAACAGGTCCCCTTGGCAACAATTACCTGACATGCCGCCTCCACATCACCATGGGCCCCGCGCGGGAGGGCACCCTTGCAACCCCCACCCCACCCCCGAGTGTAAAGACTTTGCCCGAGGGCGCCTGACTCTCCGATCGCCGCGGGGCGACGTTACCACTGGCGGGCCCTCGCCCTTGGTTGCTGCAGGTGCTGCAGGGCGCGAGGCGCTCGCGGCGGCAGCCGCTGGCGCTGGCCCCGGCGGCAACACAGGCGTGGTGCTGAGGTGCTCGGACAGCAACCACCCACTCATGCCGCTGTCCGTGGCCACCAGCGACCAAAGTCCCGAGGTCATGCCCGACAGCACCCGCTCGTTATGGGTGATCCTGGCGTCGGGGACCACGTCGGCGTCCAGACTCGGCTGGACCCGGAGCACGCTGTGCTGGCCCCCCGGCCGCGTGTGATACGCCACCTGAGGCAGGGACAATCCCCGTCGTCGGTCAAGCTCTGTGCCTACAAGCGGGCTGCCCGTCCGACGAGCTCTTGGCCGCGATTCAGGCCAGAGGCGGTGGTTTGCAGTGAGGCTGGCGCGCATCGAAACCCATGCGTGAAAACTTGCCGACGGACTGCTGCCCGACCCCCCTGGGGCCCTACAGCTCCCCCACAAGGGCCCAGGGAGCGAAGCACGCGCAGACCGAAGCCCTCTCGGCGAGACCTGGTGGTCGGGATCCCCCCTCCCGTCCCCTTTGGGGCCCCGCGTTGCTCTCCTTGGGACTTTCGGCCGGGATTCCACCTCCGTCGGGGTGAGCCTCACCGTGGGGTCCATGTCGGCCCCGGGTTCGCTGTCGGCCTCGTCGTCGGAGTCGTCGACCTCGCCAATGACGCAGCAGGGCACCCAGCCCTTCTCGTGCGGAGGTAAAGCCCTGCTCGGGGGCAGCAGGAAGAGAATTTGGCGTTTGGCAGAAGGGAGTTCCACTGGAGAAGTCCCAATCGAGTCGCTGGCGAGCAGAATCTAAAGACAGCATGCTGATGGCGAGCGAGGGCAAATGATCACTACTATATCAGCGCACTCCCCCTGCACATTTGACCTCTACCCTCCACTCCGCTCTCTACTCTGAACCCCCTACTCCCGACTCTCTACTCTTGTCCATGTTCGTTCTCCCCTCTGCGCTCTGCTCCATGCACTCTGTACTTTTTCTGTTCTCTACCCTGCCGGATGCCCTGACACCAGTTCACGACGCCAACGTGGCCCTGGACGGGGCAGCACGCCTGCAACGGAGCTCATACTACGTCGCACCGAGCCCCTTCAGGCAGGACGGGGGACTCTCGCTGCGGCGCGCAAAAGAGGAGAGGGCGGACAAGGAGGAGGAGGAGGAGGAGGGACACTCACCGAGAAGAGGGAGGCTGGCGGACACGAGAGCGAGCAAGGGACAAGAACAGGCGGACACGAGAGCGAAAAGGAGAACAAGAGTCCCATCATCCCTGATCAGCGGCAGCGGCAGCAAAAGGATCGCGGCTTTGAAGCAGGCTGCGGACGGTGGAAGAGCGGGAGGCGGCCATGCGAGCCCTAGCCGCACAGGCCTCTCGGAACGCTTGTCGGAAGATACACCTCCAACGCGGGGCGAATTAAAGGACGAACGAGCAAGGTCAATACCGACCAGAACGGAACAGGGAACGGCGCGAGAAGAAGAGAGAAGACAAGCAAGGAACAGGTAGGGGAGGAAGCTAGGTTCACCAGGCCAGGATCAGGGAAAAAGGAGGGAAGATGGCCCAGGGCATGATAAAAAAGTGAGGACACGACAGATAATGACGAAGTATATCAGCACCCTCACAACCACAAATACGGCAATTCACAGTCCCACATCGATAGCGAACAGCCGTGTTCCAAGCATTGTATAACGTATTGACATACGCCGCCGCGAAATGTTCAGGTAGGGGTTGGCAAGCTCATTGGAAGCGGCTATAGGTTAGCGTGCTATCTTCAATGCGGCACGGTCCCCATCTAAGCAACTTCGTCCTGAAAGCAGCCACTCATCAGCATCTTGAATAACCCGGGTGCATTCCTTCTGGAAACCAAGAGCCCATCGATCCCCAGGAATGTTCGGAATACTCTGGGTACGTCGCAAAACATCTTCCAAATACTAATATATAGAGTGCCTAAAATAGGCCCCGTACCCCCACCCAAGCACCACCTCATCATCTTTACTCAAATCCCCCACCATCTTCTTGGCCAAGAAGAAAGCACCCGACCGACTGGCCATCCGATAAGCAGCGGCTTGCGCATGCCACCGCAGATGCTGAGCCTCGATGCCATGCCCGAGCGAGCGCAGGTGGCGCAGCGTATTCTGGCTGAGCGCGTTCCGAGGCCCAGCCGCGAGCAGTTGCAATGCCCGCGGCTCATCCGCCAGCGCAAGCGGCGAATGCCCATATAATTGTGCCGCATAGGAAAGGACAGGGAAGACCGTGATGTTGTAGACCACAATGTGTTCACCCAGAAATTTAACCATGCCGCGAACTTGCCTGGTCCTGGAACTCAAGGATAAGGCGGGGACCGCCCCAACAAAAATCAGATGCCCACCCAACCCGAGAATCATCCCGAGGTGTTTGCCCGACGAAACCAAACATAACCACCTGGCCCTAAGACCATGATCTCGGCAACGTCGACGAACCTCCTCCTCCCCAAAGGGCATGGGAATAACAACGACGGCCTGGCCAGGGTGGAGAAACATGCCAGCAATGCCCTCGCAGCGCAGCAGCGCCCGCGCGAACAGCGAAACCGCAATGACAATATTATGTGACACCAACGCAACGTTGCCAGCGCAAACTGACACTTAATTCTGAGGAGAAGGAACACGAGAGCGTTTCGACCATCATGGCGAATAGAACCCCACTGGGCGGACATCCTCGTTTAATCCCCCGGCCAAGTTCAAAGGGGTGCGATCGATTGCCCCGAGACGAAATAATGGCGCGAGCACCCGAGCACATCGCGCGAATATCGCCGAGCAGAAGCGGGGGAATACCCACGCGTGCAAGAACTCGAAACAGCCATCCGCGAGCAGCGGACGGGAAAGCTGCGCGGATATCGAATAGCGCGCCACCGCCATCTGCAACGCCAAGCACTCCAGACCAAGCCATGCATGTCGCGCCCCCTGGGAATCACGCGCTCCGTGAATTGCCCTCCTGGAACAAAACCATTATGCACAAGGTGAAGAGTTCCAATGCCCAGAAGCCCCAGACGCCTCGCAGAGGCCGCAGCCAAAATGTTGTTGTCCGTGTTCGACAGAGCGAGAATGCGAACCTTGTCCACGGCACGCTGCCGCAGAAGACTACGCGGGCCAGGTTCCCCTCGCGGAAGAAATGTGCCCAGCGAGACGTTACGCTCGTGCGAGAGCCCCCGTCCATCGCGAGCATGCACATGGGTTAAACAAGGCATCGATGAAATCGCCCCCGCCCACGGACCCAGGCACTGCGCGGGGCCCCATCGGCCCCGGGGGCAGAATCAACGCGTTGTTGAAGAAGCCCCTTGAATCCCCCCCTCGCCATCCTCTACGCGAAGTCCGTCGGCGTCTTGTGGATGTGGCAGTGGAGCTCGCGAAGAAGGCCATCGAGCAAGTCACTCGGAGCATTGGCGTCCACATCTTCAGGGGGCGAAGCGGTTCAGCGATGTCCCCCCAGCGTTTAGCCAGCGCCGCAGCTCACCCCTCAGGGCCAACAAAAACGCGGAATCAGCCAAGTCGACAATGCTGCGGAAGTTTAACTGCCGGTGGGAGGGCGCCCAGGCCCTGGACAACTCGGTCAACCTGTCGATGCGATTCTCTTTCGTCTGATGACGCATACCAGGGTCCGAGGTGACGCCATGTATGGTCTCCTCATAGCGACTGCGCATATAGTCATGGATCGCGCTAGTAAAACCCTCTAAGTCCGTCCAGGTCATGACGGAGACGTCATAGCACCGCGCGAGCCCATTAAACTTTGCCCTCCTCGCAGTCCTGGAGCTGGCGTTCCGACGGGCCCGAACAAGGGCATCCATCCAGGAAAGCTTTTCGTCAATGGTCCATGGCCCTAAAACTGGCCCCCTCCGCCCCGCGCGACACCTTGCTTCGCGCGTGCCTCCTTGAGCTCGAGCGCGCGCCGCAGCGGACAGTCGGGCAGCTCGATCCGCGTCAGCAGCCCATTCAAAACGTCCGCGTAAAGTGGCGATCTCGTGGCCCGCCGTGGGCGGGCGGGCGCGGCGCGTGGTCCGACGGGGCATTCTCGTCAGCGACTGACCGGCTGACTCCAAACATCGGAACAAGGTCCAGGAGATCGCGGCTCGGGAGATCGATGCACGAACGATCGAGACGGGCAAAGGACACCAGGGAATTGCATTGAATAACTTTACACGTATAGCCTGGCTGGTCAATCTCACCAAAATCGCCCAACACTGCGCGGCAAATAGAATAGCAAGTGGACCCGACCAGGAGGTAGCGCTGAATTCCTGATCTAGCCGACCGGAATAGCAGCGGCTGCCCCTGGATCCGGCAAGTGATCCAGGACCCCCTGCGGCACGGACCGCAGCTCCAAAAGTCGCAGTCCCTGGCCCACGTGAACGGCAGCAAAGCATCAACGCTCAAAGCGCCCCTTCACGGACACCTACCTTAAGACACCAGCCAGCATTAATCACCACGCAGCCAGGTTCATCAAACAGTCGAGCAAGGCGCTCGTGAATCTGAATAGCAGTTTCCCCAGCATTCCCGCTATCTAAGAAGATCCCAAAACGTGCGCGCAAGGGATAGGCTCTCTGGAGTTCCACCTGATCCGCAGTTGCCCCATGGGTTTCACGCAATAAGGCGCAATCAAGCTTCTCCTTGCGCCAGGAAAGCTTTCGCCACTTCGATTCCACACGATCATGATTAGTCCGAATACTGCGAAATAAAACGCGCAAGTTCCATGCAACCCAAGACAGCCCAGCAGGAAGGAAGAAAGGGGGAACGATGCAGATCCGAGCCGGGGACAGGCAAAGAAGCAAGCGGCTGACAGAGGTAAGGGACAGACCAGGAGGCGGCCCCAGAGTGCTCAGAGCGCCCAGCTCCAACCATCACCAGGATGGGAAGGGCTCGCGCAGTCCCGCGAGCAGAACGTGGTAGCAGTCGACCCTGTCGGCGCCCGTGGACCCCCTGGGGCACCACCGGCATGAACAGAAGACGACCACGAAGTCATCGCAAGCGTAGCAGACGGAGAAAAAGGACGCGCAGCCCAACTGCACGGATGGCAAGAAGTGGTGATAGTCCACCCCGTCAGTGGCGTAAAACCGCAAACACCGTCACTGCACCTAGCTACACCACAGTCAGCCGCACGCATCCCCACCGATAGTCAAAGCGGACTAGTATCCAAGATGACGCTGCTCTGCTCATTGCCGATACTCCGCAACTGAAGGGCAGATGCATTTGGCATGAGCTGCCCCACTTTATATCCCGAGTGCTCTGACATGACCAACTAATCAACATTCACACCCACCTTGTCCTTGTCTGTCCACCTGGCGGTCTTCTTCAGCAGCGTCGCGATCGGCTCGTAGATCCGAGCGAACTGGCGCGCCCGAGCTCGCGCTAACAAAAGGGCGGCCCCCTCTTCAGCGGAGCGTAGTCGCCGCGTTGAATTTCGGGTCCATCCAGCGCACCTGGTCCTCGTCAAAGCGACTCTGAAACTGCTGCGCCTGCGCCGCCGATGGAAACTGCAACTCAACGCCAGTAATTTGCGTCACGACGCCCTCAGTGAGTTGACGGCACTGTCCACGTACTTGTTCATGAAAGGCCGAGCGGGTACTGGCGAGCACCGAGCGTGGCCACACTCCAATCCACTTGCTGCATGGGTCCTCAAGTACTTCGTCCACCGCGGCAGGCTGACGCTACCGAGGAGCAAGAGGGCGATCGCCATTCGACAAACT